TACATGGTAGATAGGGATGGGCAACTTTGACATTGGCTACCTAAAATGAGGGTGTGATAAAGGCTCAAAGTGACTGCTTACAAGGTTTCAAGAGGGAGTTTAGTTTAAGAGTGTGTGGGGAAGACAGAGTCCCCACAGAAGAGTTTTCATCTTGTCTAGATGGGTCTGGTAAAAAAAGATGGGGATAAGATTCTTATTATACGATAGTTAATTGCAACTGTCACAATTGTAAAGGTAAAAGTTTCATAACAAAAACTGGGTTGTAGTTAATCTTACAGTCCAGAAACAGAGGACCCTAGGACCATCAAGGGAGAAGAGCACAAGCAGAATGCAGGACCCTATCCAGAGAAGCAGCGACACCAGAAATGGAGGCAGAGATGGGGACATGGAGAGAGGAAGCAGCTGAGAATCTAGATTCATGGAAAGAGAGGGACTGAGAGCTGGAGGCCAGGAGGCAGATGAAAGAAGAAGGAGAAAAAAAAGACATGAATAAACTTAAATGCATACTAAGTGAACGAAATATGGAAATACTGTATTATCCCAAGTATATGTGACATTTTAGAAAAGGCACTTTAACAGTAGAGAAAATAGGAATCCCCAGGTACTTAGGCACTTGAATACCAACCAAAGGGTTGTGTGTTTAAACCCACCTAGGAGATCCTCACAAGAAAAGCCTAGAGATCTGTTTCCCAAAGGTCTTGAAACCCTTATGCAGTCAGTATAGCTCCACCCTGGAACACATGCGGTTGCCATGAGTTGTAATAGACTCCCTGCCTTCAGCAACTGTTGTTTTTATTAAGTGTCATCAAGTCGGTTCCGATTCACAGCAATCCTGTATAGGGTTTCTGAGTAGTTGGTGGGTTTGAACTTCGGGTAGCAGTCCAGTACTAACTTTTGGTTAGGACACCTCTTGGTTTGTAGACAGTAAGATCAGTTGCCAGAAGTTTGAATGGAGTGAGGGAGGGTTGAATAGATGAAGCACAAGGGATTTTTAGGGCAGTAAAGCGTAGGGGTTACGAATCGGGCTGCGAACCGTAAGGTCAGCAGTTCGAAACTACCAGCCGCTCCGCGGGAGAAAGATGAGACTTTCTACTCCCGTAAGGATTTACACCCTCGGAAACCCTGTACAGGGTCGCTATGGGTCGGAACCGACTCGACAGCACTTAACAACAACAAATCTATTTTGGTGGTTATGTGCCATGGAGTTGGTTCTGACTCACAGCTACTCAGGGTTTCCAAGGTTGTAAATCTTTATGGGAGCAGATAGCCTTATCTTTCTCCCATTGAACAGCTGGTAGGTAGTTTCGAACTGCTTACCCTGAGTTTAGCAGCCCAAGTGGAAAATTTATCTAGTACTCCTCAAAACTGCCAAAGTCATTAAACACAAGGAAAGCCTGAGAAACTAAAAGCTAAGAAGAGCCTAAGGACACATGAATAAATGTATTGTGGAATTCTGGATAGTATCTGGAACAGAAAAAGACATGTAAAAACTAAGAACATCTGAATAAATTATGGATTTTAGTTAGTAATAATGTATCAGTGTTGGGTCATTAATTTTAACAAAGGTACCATCCTAACTTGAGATGTTAATAATAGGGGAAACTGAGTTTAGGGTATATGCAAACTCTACTATGTTCTCAATGACTCTGTAAATTTAACAGTTCTAAATAAAATCAATTATATAAATGAAACAAACAGCGTTTGAACCAGGAATTCCACTCCTAGGTACTCAACAGAAATAAAAACCTATGTCCGCATTAAAAATGTATACATAAATGTTCATAGCAACATCTGTTGAAAATGGAAACAACTCAAGTGTTCATCAATTGTCAGGGAGCATGAGGGAGCTTCAAAATGTTTGTGAAAAAAAGGAATAAGATAATGGAATTTTTCCACTAACTTTTAAAAGCCCTGCTGTATATTCATACGATGAAAAGGAATGAAGTACTGGTATGTGGTACAATCTTGAAAATATGCTCAGTGAAGAAGCCAAGATTTAAAAAACAAAAACACACACGTATAGTTTCATTCAAATAAACTGTCCAGAAAAGAGAAATCTGGTAGCAGATAGTAAATTAGCCCAGGGCTGGGGGGTAGAGGTTGAGGTAAATTGAAGAAGCGATTACTAATGGGCTTCTTTTATGGTTGATGAAAATGCTCTAAAATTACGGTGATGGTTCTACAACTCTGTAAATACACAGAGACCCACTAACTTCAACACTCTGCATGAGTGAACGGTAAGCTATGTTACTTGTATTTGGTTTTAATCGTTTTTAAAAACAACACAGCTAACTCATAATTACTGGTTACATGCTAAACGCTTTTCCCTAAGACTAGGAACAAGATAAGGCTGTCTATTTGCATCATTTCTGTTCAGCATCCTACTGGAGGTCTTATATAATAAAGCAAGAAAAAGAAACAAAAAGAATTGGAAAGGAAGAAGTACAACTATCTCTATATGCAGATGACATGATTGTTTATGTAAAAAAAAGTAAGTAATCAACTAAACACTACTAGAACTAAAAAATGAAAGAATCGAGTTGAAGTTAATACGGAACAGTCTGTAATATGTCTTTCTGCCAGGAGCAAACTAGAAAATTTAGTTAAACAAACTATAATACACCATACACCATAAAATGCTTAGGACTACTAAGTTCATATTGTTTTTGTTCTCAGCACTTTAATTCTTTTTCTTTTTCTGGAATTGCTACTGGATGATAACACTATCTTTACGTTTTCATTTTTCTGCTTTGGATTGGAAGAGTTCCTCAATTTAAAGTTCTATTTTAATCAATGGACTCCATTGTACCATTTGTTCAATGTATTCATCATTTCAATGATATTTTTCAAACATAATGCTTTTACTCGGTTATTTTATGATTGAGTAGATTGCTAATATCTTCCCTTATCTATTTACCAGGATATCTTTAAATTCTTGGTTGTCTTTTCAAGTATGTCTGCTTCCAATGATATCCACTCTCTTTTCTGAAGTTTTTAGGTATCCAACCACTCTGGCTGGTTGAGTACAGATTTCCCTAATGGTACAGGCTACTAGTCTAGTAAGAAATTCTAGGTAAGAGTCAAAGACCAGATTGTTAATAGTGTTCAAGGAGGGCATCCCACCAGGGTAACTAAGCAGTTACCATGGAGTCCATTTATTACTCGGCTCCCGGCAACCCAGCGTGTGCAGAGTAGAACTAACTGTTCCACAGAGTTTTCATGATGGTAATCTTTTGGAAGCAGATTTCTAGGCCTTTTTCTGAGATGCCTTTAGTTGAGTTCGAAACACCAACCTTTTGGTCAGTAGCCCAGCGCTTAACTGTGTGCACTACATAGGGATTCCACCAAACAGTACTTTTTGTCAGGGCCTTACCTTTAACCCAAGCGATTCTTATAGGAGGCAATCTCCCAGTGTCATAGTCGAAACCAACCCAAATCAAGTCCATTGCTGTTGACTCAATTCAGTGAGGGTAAAGTGCCCCATAAGTTTTCCAAGACTGTAAATCTCTGTGGTAGCAGATGGCTACATCTTTCTCCCATGGAATGGTTAGTGGGTTCAAACTACCAATCTTCTGCTAAGTAGTGAGCACTTTAACACTTGTGCCACCAGGGCTTCTAGATTGCTCTGAAAGGCAAAGGTGGAGTGTGAAATGTCAAGGGCAGACCATTACAGAACTATTCTCATCAACTTCTCACTTTTATCAGGGCCTTTTTACTGCCTTATTATTATCACCTGCACTCACAGCTGGGTCTGGAGCCGCCATTTCTATAGTACAGGTATCAATTATGGTTATTACCTCTGTGGCCTCCACTTCTATAGTGTGGAGGCCAGTTATGATTGTCCCTAAACATAGGATGCCCCATTTTCCTGAAAAAGGGAGAAATGGTGTATGTTTTTGTCTTTGTGAGCTCTTTGGTCTATTGTCACTACTCCATTCTGCTTTGGTAGTGAGAAAGTAGGCTGTTTTCCTATAAAACTTGATTTAAAATTCAGGCAACAGGTGGAATTTGGCTAAAGGTCAATTTTCCAACTCCTATCCCAAGGCGCTCTAGTATTAAGTACTTAACTGTTAACTGCAAGTTCAGCAGTTCAAACCCCCTAGTAGCTCCTTGGGAGACAGATGAGGCTTTCTGTTCCTATAAAGATTTACAGCCCATAAGGTCACTATGAGTCAGAATTGACTCGATGACAGTGGGTTTAGATCCCAAGGCAAAGGTGTGGTGGGGGAGTGCGGAGGCAAAAGGAGAACTAAAATGACTTTTCTTGATATATTCTATTAATGCCTCTACCAGTAGCCTTCTCTCTCATGTTACAGTCACCCTGCCTTCCCCTTAACAGCTGAAAACTGTCGTCTGACTCCCTAGGAGTTACTCACTTTTGTTGCTTTCCTAGATTTCATTTTATTGTTGTTGTTAAGTGTTGTTGAGTTGCTTCTGATTCATAGCAACACTGTACAGGGTTTCACAGGTGCAGCTGGTGGGTTTCAACTGCTAACCTTGTGATTCAAACTGACTTTATGTTCCAGTGCTTATATTACAGCTTCACATCATTTTGTTGTTGTTGTTAAGTGCCGTCGAGTCAGTTCAACCCATAGAAATCCTGTATAGGGTTTCCAAGGAGTGGCTTGTGAGGTTGAATCGCTGACCTTGTAGATCAAACCAACTTGGAGTCCAGCACATTAACCCACAGAGCCACACCAGGACTCCATTTTATTAAAGGATGCTAATTTACCATCTTGGCAGGAATGGGAAACCAAGTCAACAATTGTTTTCTTTATATATTTTTGGCAGAAAAATTATGTTTATTAAAAAAAAAATCTGGAATATAATCATACTTCACTGCTTCAGTTGAAGAATCCCAAGCCACAGACAAATACTAAAAGCACATAACTGGCTACTTTCTTAAAGATACATAAAAAGAAACAAATGCTACAGTATAGGAAGACACTTACCCCTTATCAGATATCACAACTCCTTCCAAATAAAGAATATGACCCATCTGCCATATTGAATTGATATTTATTTCAGGACATGCCATGTCAAAATAAAACAAAGAGTCAACCCTTGCCTTTAACAATAATATTGCATTATAAAAGCACTTAACAACTCCATCCTGTCTTTGAGCATAAGTTACTGGTATGTGGGCTAATAATTATCTGAAAGCATTTCTCTATTCAGATCAATAATCCAAGTGCTCTCTGAATATTACAAGGTGACAATAAGTGGAGGAGGAAGAAGAAAAAGATGGGAATAAGGTTCCCGGTTAAAGGGTTTTGTTGCAATGAGAAGATGAGGAAGTATGAAGATATTTTTATCTTTTCACCTTTATACTGTGTTAAGTAATGCTTACAACATAAATTTAGCAGGATTTTCCTGAGCTATAACTCAGAAGTTTTCCTCCTGCAAACAATGTATTTACAAATGTGTTTATTAACTTACACAGCAACCTCACAATAACTAGTAAAGGTTAAAAGGGTATACTCCTAGTATATGTGTTTGCAGTGTTTTAAAGGAAATACATATTGCCATGTTGATCAAGCTCTAAATATTCAACAAAACTTCCAAAAACTGATAGTAGTTTTTTAAAAAAGGCAAAAGAATAAATATCACCAAAGAAAAGGTTGATCATAGCTTAAATATAAAACTAAATCACCAGTTAATTAGCCAAACTATACAGCTCTAATAAAAAGCAAAACCAGCCTGAGCAACCCAACATAAAAAAATGCTAAAAATAAGGCATAAATCTGCATTAATATTAAATTTTATTTCCATTCTCTCCTTCCCCTCCTCTATGTATGCTTTTTTTCAGATGTGCCTACAGGGGCTTATAAAAAAAAACTGTTTCCTTCAAATGTCCTGAGTAAAGTATCTATTATTCTGCTTAGGGTTCTTTTGTTGGTGAGATTTAGTTATCACTGTTTCTATTGGTTATAGTAGCTTTGATCATGGTGCCCAATTAAAATTCTTTCACTGGTTCTTCTTAAAGGAATTTAACTTCAGTGTCTTGCCTGCAGAGCAGTTTTTAAAAACAAAGAAAGCCCAAGAGAAATCTATTGCTTTAAAAGTTTTTTCTGACAAATAGAATAACTCTAACTTGACAATTTATAAATCTTGGGAGAAACAGTCCATTGGAACTTGGTGATTCTTACAATAAAGTATTACAAAAAAATACTTAACACCTATACTAAAGCATTTGTTCATGTCTCTCTCCCAGAATCTAATAAAGCACATGTGAAAGGGTCATTTGTTTGGGTGAGAAATACATTTATGTTCCTCTACTTATAAGTACCCAGTATGTTCATTAGGAAAAATTTTGAATATGCACCAGAACCCTTTTCTTATTTAAGCACTAACCACCAAGATAGCTGAGTTCTGACCTCAAAGAAGGTCAAAGTAATTTATATCAGTGCTGAAGGATTATTTTGGACATTTTAGCCCAAAAGGCCTAAAGGAAGTGGTATTCTTAAAATTGGAAGGATAATTGCAGTGGGCTTGGTCTTGTTGCTTCTCTGCTACCACCTGTTTGCTTTGAGGAATGGAAGGTGAGGAATAGGGTACAGGGAGGGAACGGCAGAGGTTGAGAAAAGCAGGGGAAGATCAGGAAGCAAGCAAATGCGCTGTGAACAGACTGCTCCTTAACCAAGCCACACGCATACTGTTGAGATTTCCATCATTTTGAAATACATTATCATAACATTAAAAAAGGAAAAAAATGTTAAGAAAATGTATCTAATTTTTAAAGTTACCACTGGAATATGCTGAAATCTTTTGGCTTTTTGTAAAATACAAATAATGAAGACACTGACTTTTTTGTGCTTGTGAAGCTAATAGATCATCTCCACGAGACAGGCAGCAATGATGAATTGCAATACGTTATTACTGAAAGGAAAAGGTTCAAGCCAATATTCACACTGCAGTCAATGAAAGAGTAAGGGGCCAAAGCCATGAGCTTCTGGAGAAGGGCTGAAGATATCACAAGGAATTAGCAGGAACAGCCTCCTTCATTGACAGGTTGCTCCTGAGGCTTTTCCAGTTTTATGTCTATCACTGAAACAAAAGTTAAGGACTCATAAATGGAAAAGTGCAATTCTACTGAACACTGACTTTTTTGGTAAGTCCCTTATATTCCTATTTACTTCAGAGACTACACAGTCACTATTTCCTATGAAGTTATTGCACCATGTGAGAATATGGACTAAACTTGCAGAAAGGGTCAGAATGAGTTTCATGACTATTCACCAGAATCTATGCTAAGGAAATTATTCTATAGGCACAAGAAACCATTTGGAGATAACACTCCTTATAGAATCATCTATAATCACAATCTAAAAACAGCCTAGATGAGAGTTCCAACAACAAAAGGAGAATCTAATAAATTATGGGACTTTAACTCAGTAGAACACTGGATGCTATTAAAAATAATAAAGGCTTTGAAAACAAAACAGTCGTAAGTGCGAAGAGTCAAATATAAACTTCTAACAACTCTATGGCTTAACAAAAATGTCTGCATATGGAAAAACAATGCAAATATTAAAATTCAAAGTCCTTTAAGCCAACTAAAATTAGATGTGCTTCATTAAGTATGTTCTGTAAGAGGCCATGATAAAGCTTCAGACTGAGCTATTTCCTGACTATGACAAATAAAAAAAAAATCAAATGTTACAAAAAGCAAGAGAGGAAGGGGAAAAAAAGCACACTGTAGGGGAGAAACCCAGAGCCAACAGGATGTAAAATTAAAGAGACTGAGATTGTAAGATTGTAAGACTGAGATTGCTCGTTAAAAAGCATGCAAACAAAAATGACCCCTCACTGATTAAGTGAAGTGAGCAGCAGGTTGTAAAAGGTGTGCTTAGATAACCATTTGCAGTAAAAAATCTCTGTGCATTTATGCTTCAATTCTTGGCTGTAAAAGGCAATAGCGCAGTATTCCTTAGCCAACCACATGGGGCTCTAAAGACAAGAATTAACAGTAAAACTTTCTGATGAAACAAAAGGATACTGTCTTCTCTGCTTCTGTCCTGTGTGCTTTCCATTCCAGGCAAAGCTGCTGCAACACGTCGGAAGAGCTGTGACAAAGAAAGAAATATAATAATTGAGAAGGAAATTTTAGCAAATAGTATCGAGTAAATGTAGATAACCACTGGATGAATTTGAAGGATATGGCTCTCATGAGTTATCTCTCACTTAGCATCATGAGCATATTCAAATGTCTACTGCTTGTAGGATAAGCACTGGACTGTAAGGTCAGTTTGAACAGCAAGTTCAGCAGTTCAAACTCACTAGCTGTTCCTTGGAAACCCTATACAGGATCTCTTTTGAGTTGGAACCAATTTGACAGCATTTAACGGTAACAAAAAAATTGCTCTAATGAATATTACACGAAACGCAGTATGTTGCATAAAAAGAAATGAAGACATGTTCGCTGCTTTCCAAGTAGTGAGATAAAGCATGAACAAACAGTTATGAAATGAGCAAAAATTGTATATTTACTTAAAAAAATAAAGTATTACAAGAACTCAGAGTAAGAACAGATCATTCCTTTAGTAAAACTGATAGAGACTTTTCTATTTTTCATAAATGGTTAGGTTCAAAAGTGAGTATATGTGAGGGGGCTTCAGAAAGCTTCGTAGAAAAATGGAATTAAAATACTTATTTTTCTATGAACTTTTTGAACAGTAAAAATCAATTTGGCCATAATTATTGTTGTTAGGGGCCGTCGAGTCAGTTCCGATCCACAGTGACAGACCCTCTGCACACCAGAATGAAACACGCCTGGTCCTGCGCCATCCTCACAACTGTAGTTATGCTTGAGTCCATTGCTGCTGCCACTGTGCCAGTCCATCTCATGATTATCCAGGAAAATTCCTTAGGAAAGTACCAGGTTACAGAGTAACACCATCTTTCAAATCCAATAGAGCTGGTATTTCTTCAGTCACTGGAGTAAGCACCAGTAGAAGTGGTTGGCTTGATTTTGAGGTATGATATTACAAAAAATATCTTGAACAGGAGAATCACCTCAAGTGGGGTAAAATGTTCACTATGAAAGACATGTGGGAACAAAATCAACAGAAGGAAAAACAGATTTATGCCTCCAATCTGATCCTAAGCACAAAATGGCTTAATTTTCCAATTATTTCTCTTTTGGTTAGGAATGCAGTGTAGAAGTTAAAAATACGTGTGATGTAATTCCCTTGTGTCACGTACCTACTTAATTGAGGCACTGTCTAAGCCTCTCCAGAGACGAAACAATGAGCAAGATGTAGTTTTTTAATTCAGTGAGCTCACAAGACAGACTTAGACAATTCCCTATGCCACAATGTGATGAGTGGTATAAACCAAGGAAGGACAAAATACGAGGAATGCACAATGCAGATGCAAGGAGGCCCTCAGGAGGCTGACAAATATCTTGAGGATGTGTTATGTGAAATGAGATTAAAAGCAGTTTTAATACTTCACTGGACTGTAAAGCATATTGTGCAAAAGGGTGAGAATTTAAATGCTCATTATTATTGTTAAGTGGTGTCAAGTCAGTTCTGACTCATAGCAACCTTGTATAGGGTTTTCAAAGAGCAGCTGGTGGGTCTGAATTGCCAACCATGTGGTTCACAGTCCAGTGCTGATCCTATAGAACCACCCCAGCAAGTTCAAATGCTCCACAAACGTTGCTAAATTAAATTAAATGAAATTGACAAGGAACAAAATTAACAAAGCTAGAGGGGAAAGCTGCAATAATAATTAGAAAAGATTCCTGGTGTGGTGCTGTAGAATAAGCACTGAATTGTGAAACACACAGTCAACAGTTCAAGTCCACCAGATGCTCCCCAGGAACCCTGTACAGGGTGACTATGAGTCAGAATTGACTCAATGGCACTTAACAACAACAAAGATTAACTGGTAGATCTTGTAGTCAAACAAAAACACACACAAGGAAACTGTCAAGCTTCCATTATCTACACAAAGTTAAATATCTTACTGAGATACAGATAATTAAAGAGGTTGCAATTTCACAACTTTTCTTGTTTCTCTTACTTTTACCCTCAAGAAAGTTTTCTGGAAAAATTAAGGTATGAAGTCCCTCTCTCTTGGCCAGTGATAAAATATGTCATTTGATTTCTTGACTGCTACTTCCTCATATAATCCAGTTTCTCAAATTATTTGCTAAGCATACAGACTGAATAAGTACAATGAAAGAATAAAACCCTGGCACACACCTTTCCTAATTTTAAATAATTCAGTGTTCCCCTGTTCTGTCTTAACAACTGTCTCTTGTACAGGTTTCTCATGAGCTCAATTAAGTGTCCTGGAATACTACTTCTTCGCAATGTTGTACATAGTTTGTCATGATCCACACAATTGAAAGCCTTTGTATAGTCAATAAAGCACAAGTAGACATTAGAATTTTGTTTTAGATTATCTAGTAGTCTAAATTTAGGTTATTTCCATTCCAAAAGAATGGAAATAACCTAAATGCCCATCAGCAAGTGAATAGATAAAACAAAAAACTGTGGTACACACTCATGTATACAACACAACACTACTCAGCCTGTAAAAGAAATGAAGTTTTGATACATGCTACAATATGAAGTTGTAAGACTTTATACGGAGTGAAATAAGTCAATCAGAAAAGTACAAATAGTGTATAAGTACATTTATATAAAAAGACAAGAAAAAAACCAAACCCTTTGTTAGTGGTTACATGGATGGGAGGGAGGGAAAAAGTGGGGATGGAAATAGAGCCAATTATTTGAAGCGCTGTAAATAAGCTGTACACCTGTAAAAAGTTAACTGGTTAAAAGTTGGGTGATAAGTATACTTACAACAAGGATGGACAAAAATAAAAAGAGTAGTTGCTAAAGCTCCTTATGTATAATCAAACACCTCAAGGGATTTGGTTGCTTGGTTTGGAGATTTAAAATCATGATTAGATGGGACATCCCAGTTAATTGGGCTAATAACATACTTAGTACTTCTGTGCTATCTCCTAGTTTGTTGTATAGTACTTGGAGTCTTAAAAACTTGCAAGTGGCCATCTAAGGCACAACAATTGGTCTTCAAATGCCTACAGGAACAGATGGAGGAGTCAGGAATAGGATGGGAGATATGGAAATGTGTGCCTCACTGCCTCCATGAAAACTGATCTATTTTGCCATGAGATTGTAACTGCATGGCTGAACGGTGCCTGACTACCATTACTGAACATTTTAACCAAAATTACCATAGAATAATCTAGATCAAAAGGAGATGAGACCTTGATAACCAGCAGTATGACGAGATCTGAGGAGTCCTGGGCCCAGGGGCAGGGACATGGCCTCAGAGGACTAGAACACAGTGTGAAACATCCAGCTAATATAAAGAGAGGGGGTATGCACAAGAACACCCACACTTGCAGATAGTACCCATTTGACCTGGCATCAATGGCTGGATGATCAGAACACGACTAGAGGAAGAAAGAAGAGGGAAGAGGAAAAAAAAGGGAATAACCCACTATAAGTGGATGATCTTGACCTATGCTTGTGGATGCAGTGTGACAAAGGAGCAGACAAATCTCTACAGTGAGGATCATTCCCACCCCCCTTGGTACACAGGGACAACATAGAGGGGGAACTAAAACATTGGCTACCCAAAATGGGGGGACTACAAAGGCAAGAAGTGACTGGATTACAAGCTTTCACTAGGGAACCTAGCTCCAGAGGATACAGGGAAAGATAGAACCTCCACTGAATTGTTTCCAACCTGTCTGGATGGGGTTAATAAAAGCTGAGGGGAAAAGGACTCCTGTGGTTCAATAGGCAATGATTGCAATCAGGTCTGACAATGAGTGTTGGAAAGGTAAATGTAAATGTTTGGTAACAAAAGGAGGGGAGTGGCTGATATTGCAGTCCAGGAGCTGAGATCCCTGGAACCATCAAGGGAGAAAAGCAAAATGCGAGACAGTGTCTGAGACAGTGTCCAGAGAGGCAGTGACACTAGGGATGGAGGCAGAGGCAATGACGTGGCAGAAGGAGTGGCTGGGGACTCTGAACTCAGGGAAGGAGAGGGGTTGTGTGCTGGCGGCCAGGATGCAGAAGTGTGGGGTGTACCATTTGGGTGTCTGATGATGAATGTGATCATAGCAATGAAACAAAGAACGATAGGATGAGTGTATAGATAATGTTCACCCATGTAAACGAAAACATAATTCACAATAAAAACAAAATAAAAAAAAGGAGAAAGCACAAAACAGATTTTGAAATTCTCATGGATTCAAGAATTTCCTGCATGAACCCCTGTAACTATTGCCCTGAGATAATTTTTAAACTTCATAAATAAAAATATCCCCTAAAGTATCCTTAAAAACAATTTGTTGTTGTTAGGTACTGTCAAGTTGGTTCTGACTCATAGCTTACCTTATGTGCAAGAGAACAAACAATGTCCAGTCTTGTTCCAACCCCACAATTGGTGCTATGTTCCAGCCCACTGTTGCAGCCACTGTGAGAATCTCATTGAGTGTTTTCTTCTTTTTCACTGACCCTCTTAACAAAGTATAATGTCCTTCTCCAGGGACTGGTCCATCCCAATATCATGTTTAAAATATTTGAGATGAAGTCCCACCATTTTTGCTTTTAAGGAGCATCCAGGCTACACTTGTTCCAAGACAGACTTTTTGATTCTTCTAGGAAGTCCATGGCACTTTCAATATTTTTTTCCAACAGCATAATTCAAATGCATCAATTCCTCTTCAATCTTTATTAATTGTCCAGCTTTCACATACATTTGAGGTAACTGAAAACACGGAGGCGTGGGTCAGGCACACCTATTTTGTCTACAAAATCCTTGAATACTGCAACTCAAGGTTTAAATTTTTTTCTTAAGTTCTTTCAGGTTGGGAAATGTTTAATGTGTTCTTTCCTTTTGGTTTTCTAACTCCCAAGTATTTGCACTTCTATCATAAGGCTTAGTGTTCTTGAGTTACCTTTGAAATTTTCTGTTTAACTCTTATACTTCTGCAGCTCTTCCAGCCAGTTAACTTCTCTACATTCAAGAGTAAATTTCACTCCACTGAGTAGTATCCAATCTGTCTGGACGG